CTTTGTCTGATCTTTTACAATAACAATTATTTAATTATCCTTAAATAACTGTAAATGTATGCTTTCAGAACATGCTGCTTTTAGTGTAGGTTTTCTGATTGCAAATATAAGATCCACATTTTTATCCTCTCTCTGTGTGTAGTGTATGTATAAGTTTGTGCTGTTTTTGTTTTTTGTTTTGTTGGCTGAAACAAACTTTCTGAGAGAGAGCACAGACAAGAAATTAATGAAACGTTAAAGGATTCTTAAGCGTTTTAGTTACAAATCCTATTGGAACTCTAAGTGGGATTCAAACTTTGGGAATGTTATCTCCTTAGTAATGAAACTCAGGCAGGTGCTTATGAGAACTTGGAGACCTGGAACAATCAGGCTACTGTGTATATAGAGAAAAGCTCCAGACAGCCAATGTAGGCAGATGAACAAGAAGCTTAGCTGGCTACTATGGTGACAGCACTGGAACCTAAAAATAAACAATTGCTGGAAATAATATTGGTTGAATGGGAGGGCGGGGAATAGAAGCTGTGTAGAGTCCAACACCATCTTCTTAAACAGAATCCACATTTCTCCCACCACTTCCATTCCTAGCTGTAGATTTCTTTTGCAATTATTTTTTGTGTACAAGCTGAGAGATTAATTGAGAAGAAATCACAGCCTACAGTAGGGGAGTCAAACTCACAGTGTCTCGGCGTCGTCACATGATATATCGGGACTTTTTCCCCCTTCGCTAAACTGGGTGGGGGCTTGGTCAGCATGTGACGCATCTGGCCCGCAAGCCACAAGCTTAACAGTCCTGCCCTAGAGTATTGGTGTCCAACCTTTGGCTTGCCTGAGTAAAGAGGAATTGTCTTGGACTACATATACATTATATATAGCTTTAATAATATAGAACCACATAATAATGGTAAAAGTTTACAATCTTATGGGGCCACATTACTAGCTGTACAGGGCCATATGAGGCTCATGGGCTGCAGGTTGGATACTCTTGGACTAGAGTCTTACAGGACTTTGTGGGGCGGGGCAAAAATATTTCCTTCATTTTATACAAAAGCAGAATTTCCCTATATCTGTTTAGAGATTCTGATTATAAACTGAGGGAAGAATGGGCAGACAACAAAGCCTGAAAATTTAGTACATGCCCATCTTAATACCCTCACTTATTTACCAAGTATGAACAAAAGTCAGATGTGCTTCTGGAAATGGTGATGGCCAACTTACTACATTTGTGTTATCTCTTTGTTTCTGACCTAATAAACACGTGAGAGGGAAGAACACGAATTTATGAAAGCAGGAACCAATGAAAGAGTTTACAAGCACTAGCTCAACTATGCCAATCTAGATTGCTGAAAACAAGAGTAACTAGTGCCCAAAACTTCTTATGTCTTCAATTGGCCATAGTCTCTTCCAAAAGTCTGACAGCAAACACCTTTACAATAATTTTGCATTCCTAATTGGTATATAGAACTATCATATTTTTAGTGTAATCTAAAATGAAAGAGCTATTCTTTCTGGAACCTAAAATAATCCACATATCTGCTTTAGGGAGCAGCAACCATATTAGCCTAAGTTTCTGCATTTCACTCTTACTTAAATGAAACACAGAAATATATATTAAAAAAAACCATTGCCTTAAATCAAATTAGATTATTGGTCCATTATACCTCAGTCAACAGTGACTAGCAGCAATTCTTCAGGCTTTTACACAACTGGACCCAGAGATACTGGGGACTGCACCTGGAACTACTTACATGCAAATTGTGTACTTTGCTCACTGAATTACAGCTTGCTCTGAATAATGAAACACAAAATGACTTATGCATTTTTTAGAATGATCACATGAGACAGAATTTGTTGAGCCAGCAAATATGAAGAGCTACATTCATAATTAGAAACCACCCTATCAGCATGTCTGAACAGGAACAAAAGAAAATGAAACAACTGTTATTTAAAAGTACCGGTAATCATGTTGTATCATACCTATTTTAAAAATATATTACCCTTGGAAATAGGCCAATTATTTTTATGCATTCATACCTATACACAACAGAAGAATAAACATCTTCAAAAAGGAGGTGCAGTTCTATATATTAAGAAAACATAGGTGTAGCAGAAAAGTAGATGCTCAATTAATTTAACTAGTTGTAGTTTACAATCTTCTTCACAGACAACAAGGAGAAAGTTATGGGTAGGAAGTAACCCCAAACCCCCAGATTCCTTCCTTCCTTTTTTTTAAAAAGGAGTTCATTTCTGAAATAAAATAGCAATAGCAATATAATTTAGACTTATGGTCTAAGACTTTACAGTGCTTTACAGCCCTTTCTAAGTGATTTACAGAGTCAGCATATTGCCCCCAACAAACTGGATCTTCAAAGATATAAAACTTGTAAGTTCTCGCTTTCTCATTATTCTTTGAGTTTCTAAACTTTTGTTTTTAAATTATCCTACTAATGCAGGTCAATAATTGTTCCATGCAACCTTGCAAGGAGATGAACAATGATGGGCATGTATAGTTATAGTCATGCCACTGCTGCAAAATAAGTCCATGGCAGTGGGGTAGAGTGAAGAAATTACTCCATGGCAATTCTGTAGAGAAGTTTCCTTTTGTTATTTAATGTCTTGATGGAGGAGAAATTTAGGAAAGTACAGTGATAGTAGTGAGGTTGATTGAGCTAAAAATATAGTTTAGTAAGAATTGGAGTTTGGGGATGCACAAATGCTAAGCATGGATCCACATTTCATTCCCCCTTCCTTCTGCATGAGATCTCTTCCTCCCTCCCCCTTTTAGAGTAATTTCATGCATTGTGAATACAGCCAAATTTTTTGTGTATTACCTAAAGAGCAGAAAGCAAAAGTAGGCTTCGAACTAGATCAAGTGACCATAACTAAGGGAAGTGTGGAAATTGTATATTACATTTCACTTTTTCATTTGCAAATGAATTCAGAATGATAAGCAACCCTTTGATCTGTCCTATGACTGAGCAGGAGTACCTCAGTTAAGCAGCAATTTGTTTTCTTATATGCTGACTATGGCTAATATAAGACATTATTCTGGGATTTGCTTAAATTTCTGTGCTTGAGGATTTTAGCCACAGAGATTTTCTGTTAGAAATAGAAAACTTGTTTCCTGCAGTCATTAAGCATTTTCTAAATTAAAATTGGAAGTTTCCAAAACGAGCATGGCATTTGAATGACATTTGTGAGTTTAACATAGAATTCTTTATAGAATTCTTTATTGGTTAAGTGTGATTGGCACACAAGGAATTTGTCTTGGTGCAAATGCTCTTGGTGTACATAAAAGAAAAGATACGTTCATCAAGAGTCAAGAATCATAAGGTACAGAACTTAATGATAGTCATAGGGTACAATAAGCAATCAAATCATACTAGGAAACAGTCAATATAAATCGTAAGGATACAAGCGACAAAGATACAGTCATACAGTCACAAGTGGGAGGGGATGGGTGATAAGGAGTGATAAGATTAATAGTAATAGTAGTGCAGACTTTGTAAATAGTTGGACAGTATTGAGGGAATTATTTGTTTAGCCGAGTGATGGCTTTCGGGGAAAAACTGTCCTTGTGTCTAGTTGTTTTGGTGTGCAGTGCTCTATAGCGTCATTTTGAGGGAAGGAGTTGAAACAGTTTATGTCCAGGATGTGAGAGGTCTGTAAATATTTTCACAGTCCTCTTTTTGACTTGGGCAATATACAGGTTCTCAATGGAAGGCAGGTTGGTAGTAATTTTTTTGAATTAGGTATTCTTGAAAACAGAAAAGCCCCTTCATCTTTTTTTAATGACTTGATTTTCTTCTACTAAAAGGCGAGTTCTCAGATTTCTTGCATTTCAATGGCCAGAAATTAGAGAAACGTATTAATCATAACAAGCAGCTCCTTGGACAGTTTGAGCTTTCTGAGTTGGTGCAGAAAGGACATTCTTTGTTGTGCTTTTTTGATGACGTTTTTGATGTTAGGTGTCATTTTAGGTCTTGTGATATGATAGAACCTAGACATTTCTGCTGATACAGTTCTACAGAATTATTGAGTCTGTCATCTGCACCTCTATAACTGTCTGGTTTGGTTCTGCAACCCAACAAGACAGACACAGACTTCAGAGAATAATTAGGACTCCAGAAAAAACAATTACTACCAACCTGCCTTCCACTGAGTACCTGTATACTTCACGAATCCAAAAGAAGGCTCTGAAAATATTTACAGAGCCCTGACATCCTGGAACTAAATTGTTTCAACTTCTACCCTTAAAACGATGCTATAGAGCACTGCACACCAGAACAACTAGACACAAGGACAGTTTTTTCCTGAACGTCATCACTCTGCTAAAGAAATAATTCCCTCAACACTGTCAAACTATTTACTAAGTCTGCATTACTATTACTATTAATCCTCCCATCCTTCCTTTCACCCATGTCCTCCCACTTATGACTGTATGACTGTAACCTTGTTGGTTGCATCCCAATGATTTTTATTGACTGTTTTCTAATATGATTTGATTTCTTATTGTACCCTATGACTATTATTAAGTGTTGTACCTTATGACAAATGTATCTTTTCTTTTATGTACACTGAGAGCATATGTACCAAGACAAATTTCTTGTGTGTCCAATCACACTTGGCCAATAAAGAATTCTATTGTTCTGTTCTGTTCTGTTCTATTCCATTCTAAAACATTAAAAGTAAAAGATGAAAAGAGCAATGATGCAAGGATCTTATTCTCCCTCACTGAATTTGGGAGTATCTGCATCAGGAGGAGGGGGGGGTTCCATCCTTGTTCCATTGGGCAGGCATTGTTGCACAAAAACAACCAAAGTTAGAAAGTTTCAAGGACTTCAAGTTGAACCCTGACTTACAAACATTCTTGTCTATTGGTAGTACTGGATAAAATACTTCTAATTACCCTAACCCTGCCACATAACTACCTCTTAAAGGGAATGCAACTGTTCAGATTCAAAGGCTTTTCCATTCAAGCATTACTGCCTAAAAATGCTCACCTCTCTCAGTTCCTGGGCAACTGAATTTAGGCGTTCGTTTTCAGACTGGGTGTTGGCAAGGACATTCTTCAGCTGCTTGAGTTCCGTCTGCAGTTCCATAACCTTTTTCATGTAGTATTCTTCTTTTGTGGCAGATTCCTGTATCAAAGTCTCCTCTCTGCTCTCTCCATCTGCTGCTACTTTCTTGTGGTTGGTATGAGCCTGACCAAAAGCCTGGAATAGAAATCACAGCAGATTATTATTATTATTTTTATAAAAATTAGAAGAACATTTTGCAGAATGCATGCTTATTGTACCATAGGAAATAATTTAAGCAGTCCAATGTCTTTATCCATGAAAAAGCAACAATATATTTTATGAAGATAGGCAGACAGATAAAAATGTCCTTTTCAAGAGAGATTAGCTAAGAGAAAATAGCATATATAAAAGCAATATCTGAGCTGATGACAAAAGACTTATTCTCAGATTTTTGGTATCTTAAAAAAAGCAAATCTCATAAGCAGTTCTCATGGACTACTGTCAATAGTTTTATTATATGTTCACAATAGGCTTTCCAATTAAATCAGTTTGATTTTCATTTATGGATATAGTACTGAGATAAGAGTCTCAAACATTAACAGCAATAAATAGAATCCACAAGGTCCCATGTGAAATACTATATTCACCTTTAAGTTACACCAGAAGCATCAAGCCAAAATTTCTCTTTAGATGTACCAAACAGATCAATTTTGTTGATTTTTGATGACTAACTCAACAATTTTCTGTCTTTTAAATAACAGTTATGGCTATATTGGAAAGTTAATGTAACTCTTCTGTTAAATATTCCTGCCAATAAGTACAGTCAGTGCAAGGAGGGTTATATGGATAAAACAAATGAATTAATGAAACGAATCTTTCTCTATATAATTCCCATTTTCCCTGAACAAAAGCTCCTGTTTCGTCTATGCAAATAAAAGTACACCTTAGGTCAGAATATTAACAGTTGCTTCAGCCAGGTAAGGGAAAGATTATTGTGAAGAAGGTCTGAGCGGTCCTTGTGTTCACTGATTTTGGCTATTTTCTTGCAGAAATTTCATTACCCAAACTAGATATCAGTGCTAGCACTAATAATTTTACCCACTTTGCATAATCAAATGTCTGCAAAAAAAACAACCAAGCTCAGAGAGCACCATTTCAACTCTGAGCTACAAATATTTTCTTTCATTGAAGGAGGTTTATTTCTGTCGTTATTGAGTCAACACCACTCAGATATAATTAAATATTCCATCAATCAAAATCCTGTTCTCCCAGTATTACACATATTACCAATTTGTTTTTGCTGACAAAGTATTCTCTCCCATACTATTTTAGTACTTCTAGGACAGTCTCCCAATTCCTATATTTATCTACTATTATTATAGATGGCCTCCTTCATGGATCATTACCTTGTACTGGCAGCTTGGGCATCCAAATTATGCGATGAACTATATATATCCCTCAGAGCTCACTCTCCCAGGAAAGTCACCAATGATGAGCTGCTCATAGATGAGAGGAAAGATTAAATATGGTCCATGGGAGGCAATACTAAAAAATGTGTGTTGCTTAAGGCTGAACTACTGAATTCCTGATGACTCTGTGTTCACTTTTCTTTATGCAGACTACTGCATTACCATGGAATGTATTATCAATTCATCAGAACCCAATAAAGGAATGGCAATTAATTTTTTTATATTCTGCCCCCAAAATTAAATTTACATTCATAAGCAGGACAAGATCAACTCATATTGGAAGGTGAGCTACTCTCATTCTCATCAGAACAATCCAACAATTATTGTAATTAATTATCAGTTGGCCACTAGATCTCTTATACCACAGGCATACCTTGAAGAATCAGAACAGTACAGAAAAAGAAATGAGCTCTCTTTTATTTATTTATTTTATGCACTTTTATCTTGTTATTATTAAAAACAAAATTTTAGGGCAATCCAATCCTTTTTGGATCCACTGGTGCAGTCAGTTTCAGTTCCATACCATACAAGCATTTTCCATGAATATTTGATTGTTTATTTTGTGAATTGCCAATTTAAAAACTACTCTCAACCCATTATTTTGTATATAGTCATATATCCATACACACATCTCACATGCATAATGATTCATAGTAATTATGTTAAAAAGGAATGGGTTCCATCTTTTACAAGAATTGGGGTAAAAATTAATTAACTGAAGATAAATTGATAAGGGGCAGTGTCAATTCAATTATATCTTTTATTTTGGAAGATTTTAATAGCAAATGAATTTAAATTTCAAATCAATCTATGCTTAATAAACAGGTATGAATATAAAATATATACAAATTTAGGGGAGTTTTTTGGTCTTTTTTAAAGGAATGTATGTCTTGTTATGTATTACTAAGCAAGAACAAAGGACACGTTATACCGGCCTCCAAAATGACCCTCATCAGATGTTTTTTATTACAATTTTGTCTTCTTTAATCACTAACTGTGAAGGGTATAACTAAAAGACTACAACTAAAGCGAATCATTATACAACATATCTAGAAAAGGGTAAGGCTGCCTAGGATAAAAACAATAAGATGTATCTTAAGACAATTAGATAACTATGATAACAGAACATCAATTCTGTCAATGCAAACATTGTAAATTTTTATTTTTTATTTTTTCCTAATTCTATTGATGGATTTTCAGATCAACAACAAATGTTTAAGCACAAGCATTTTGCTTTCCACTGGATAAACTGCATACCAATTGCTTGCATTTTACAACAAAGTATAATGGACAAAATAAATAAATTTGAGGGACAAGAAGAGCTACCACTAAGATAACAGTCAGATAAAAGAAATCTGAAAAACTGTAACTTGAAAAAGCATCTCAGACAAAAGTCTCCTTAACTGTGATGAAGATAAAGGGAAAGAGGTGAGAAGGATTTTCAGAGTTCACGTTTCTGTTACCATAATGTTATAATAAAAGTAATATTAGCACACATGACTTTCATTCTGTAGCCTGGTCTACCCTTGAAGGGCTGATAGAACGTTATATTTCAACAAAATGTAGATTAAAGTATCAAAATCTTTTTAAAAAAATGAATATCACTAAAATGGGTTGCATTACATTTCAAACCCCTTTTAAATAATTTCAACAAGTTGACAACTGATTATGAAGACGATGCAAACTAGCATTACACTCAGCTAAAATTAGCTTTCCAGGAGGTATTAGTATATTTGGTGAAAACCACAGATAATTTATTTTGGCCAAGTGTTTTTGAGAAAATTATCTCAATAACATGGTAATAAACCCTGCAATCATATAATTTTCATTTTATCAATATAAATAGATATAGCAGTATAAATTTATTCAATTACAAATACTAAACATAAGGTTTGCCACCACAAAGTAGGTTTGAAGCCTAAAGCATCTTTATCTGGAACAGTAGTTGTAGAGTTGTAATTGCAGGAATGTTCCAATCTCGGATGTCAAACCTCAGATAAAGAATGTTTCCAAGCAAATACAACTCAGGCAAACAAAGTCACTAATCTATGGATAAAGGAGGATTAGAGAGGGGAAGTAAACCTATGTTAGATTTTAACTAGAGATAATTGTATGGATTACTGTACTAAACAGTAACGAAAGTTAAGCAGTAACCAAAGTTAACCAATGATGGAGGATAACTAAAAATGTATATAAATGCAAGACTGTACTCCAATAAAGATCATCATCATGATTCAGTTGTTCATGATCAAACAACTCGACTGCCTCGTCATTACAACAAGTAGTATTTAATATTCTGGGAAATATATTTAGCTAAAAATTAACAGAACAAAGTATTTTGAAGAGCCCTGTAATTTATTCAAATCTGCTTACCATTTCCCTTTTTAAAAATTGTGTTCATATACCATTCTAAATATGGATGTCTGATGTGTCTCAATATGTACTACATAGTAATCCATTATTAATCTTTTTTTAATTCTTGTAATGTTTTGTTCATTCAATCAAAAATATAATGCAATTTTAAAATATTTTAAATGCTACAGGAAGTTTTCAGCAAGTTATTTGACATAAAAGAGAGTACAACTCTCAGGTTACTTCTTAACCCCCTATTATTAACCAAAGAATCAATCAGTTACGTACTTATAACAAGCTTAACAACAGATCAATGAAACATCATTTTAAATCTTTCAATAGGTTTGTGTTGAATGACTGATCTATTAAAAACTGGTTGTTAGTTTTTTACTAGCTTATTTTAATAAGATTTCAAGTGCAGCAATTAACTACTGACTTTATGCATTCTGTTATGATTTTGTAGAATTCAGGTGCAACTCTCAATATGTAAATGTCTTTCTCCTTTATGTTGTGTGTCATGGAAACAACTCATTTGAGTTTACATTCACTCTTAGCACACTAAGTTGCTGATAAATATTAATATTAGATATTTTAAATATTAAAATATTTCTCATTCTCTCTTGAGCATGCATTTTATATTCCATTTCTTTTCCATTCTTAACCCTTTGCTCCTTTGCCACCCTTCATTTAAAACCTAGTAATACCCAAGCATTAAGCATGAATAGAAACTGTATTTACATATTAAAGGAAGCAGTGCTTTACTAAGATACCAATTATACAAGCATTGTATAATACCCACATAAAGAATGAGCCCATAAACAGTGAAAACAGATAGCGATACTGAAATAAGCGAACAGAAACAAATGTTCAAAACAGTACTCAGTTTTGAAGTATCTGTGTCCTCTCTACTTTAAGGAATTGCTTGTTCCCATTATTTAATATTAACCATAGTTTATTTTTCATTGGTTGATGACTTTGCAAGTTGTGGTTAATTAGGAAAGAAATATTTGCAGCCTGCTTCCTGCCTAAGGAAGATATATACAAACATAGCGAGAATCAAAGTTTTTTCTCACAGAGCTAAATTGTTATATATAATCTGAATTCAGCCATGGACTTTAATGTATAAGGAAACTACAAAAGAGGCAGCATAATATGAGAAATTTAATTCCCATTGTAGCAGAAACATTATTACATTGTTCTCACCTCCTGAGGTTCAGTTATTAAATTATTCAGTTAGCTTAGCATTGTAATGTCAGTGAAACTCAGCTTTAAACCAACCCTCTCCAAAAGGTTGGGACTGACAATCATGTTGTTGGCTGGGAATTTTGAAAGCTACAGAACAAATCTAAAGCACGCCACTGAGGAAGAGTGAAA